AACACAACTTTGAAAAGATTAATGAAATCAACAAACCACTGGCAAACTTAATAAAGGAAAAGAGGGAGAGGATACAAATAACGCAAATAAGAAATGAAATGGGTGACATCACAACAGAATCTACAGAAATAAAAGGAATAATATCAGGATATTATGAAGAAAGAGCTCTGGTGGCATAGTGCCTAAAGCATTTGACTGCTAACCAGAAGGCAGTTCAAACCAACCAGTCACTCCATGGAAGGATGACTGGGCAATCTACTTCCATAAAGATTTACTGCCATGGAAACCCAAAGGGGGGCACTATGTCAAAATCGACTAGACGACAGTGAGTTTATGAAGAACTGCACTCCAACAAATTTGAAAATCCAGAAGAAATGGACACTTTTCTAGAAACACAATACTTACCTAAACTAACACAGCCTGAGGTAGAAAATTTGAACAGATCCATCACAAAAGAAGAAATTGAGCAGGTCATAAAAAAATTACCAACAAAAAAAAGTCCTGGCCCAGATGGTTTCACTGGAGAATTTTACTGAACATTCAAAGTACTGACACCTGATAAAAGCTCTCAGAAAAACAGGAATAGAAGGGAAATTCCTCAACATAATAAAAGGCATATATGCAAAAACAACAGCCAACATTATTCTCAATGGAGAGAGACTGAAACCATTCCCATTGCGAATAGGAACCAGACAAAGATGCCCTCTATCTCCACTTCCATTCAGCACTGTATTGAAAGTCTTAGCCAGGGCAATAAGGAAAGAAAGGGAAATAAAAGGCACCCAAATTGTTAAGGAAGAAGTAAAACTATCCTTATTTGCAGGTGATATGATCCCACACATAGAAAACCCAAGAAACTCAGCAAGAAAACTACTGGAACTTACTGAAAGATTTAGCATAGTGGCAGGATACCAAGATCAACATACAAAAATCAGCTGGATTCCTCTACATGAGCAAAGAGATTGCTGAACAGGGAATAAGGAAATCAATTCCATTTACAATACCTAACAAAAGCAGAAGATACTTGGGAGTAAATCTTAACAGGAATGCAAAGGACCTATACAAAGAAAACTACAAAACACTACTTCAAGAAACTGTAAGAGATCTGCATAAATGGAAGAACATACCATGCTGCTGGACAGGAAGATTGGACATTGTGAAAATGTCAAATCTACCCAAAGCAATCCATAGATTCAATGCAATCCCAATCCAGATTCCATCAACATTCTTTAAAGACATAGAAAAACCTATCACTGATTTTATATGGAAAGAATCACTAATTTTATATGGAAAGGAAAGAGACCTTGGATAAGCAAAACACTACTGAAGAAGAGGAACAAAGCCGGAGGTCTCACCACATTCCTCATCTCAAAACCTACTATACAGCCACAGTAGTCAAAACAGTCTGGCATTAGTACAGTGACAGACATATAGACTAGTGGAAAAGAACTGAGAACCCAGAAATAAATCCATCCACCCACGGTCAGCTGATCTTTGACAAAAATGGCTGAAATTCATTACATGGGAAACAGACAGTCTCTTTAACAAATAGTGCTGGCAAAACTGGTATCATTTGCAGAAAAATGAAACAAGATCCATACCTCATACCATACAGAAAAACTAACTCTGGGTGGATCAAAGACTTAAATGTGAAACTTAAAACTATAAAGTTCATCAAAAGAAAAAGGACAGAAAATAACAAATGGTGCAAATGTGGAGAGATTGGACTGTCATACGCTGCTGGTGGGACTGTAAAATGATACAACCACTATGGAAATTGGGATGGCGATTCCTTAAAAAGTTGGAACTAAAAATACCATTTGATTCAGCAATCCCATTAACAGGGATATATCCTAAAGAAGTGAAAGCCAGGACATGAATAGATACATGCACACCTATGTTCACTGCAGCACTATTCACAATAGCAAAGAGATGGAAATAACCTAAGTGTTCATCAGTGGAGAAATGGATAACCAAACTGTGATACATACATATAAAGGAATACTCTGCAACACTAAATAATAATGGACAACATGCAAAACACCACATAACGTGGATGGACGTGGAGGACATTATGCTGAGTGAAACAGGACAAATATTGCATTAGCCCATTATTGTAAAAAGCCAAGGAAAGGTTTACATATGAAAGGAAATTTTGTTGGTTAGCAGGGATGGGATGGGAGGGAAAATTCCTAGATAGGTCGGGGGGCAGGGAGTATATTTACATACATACAAACATACACATGCATGCATGCACATGCACACACACACACACACACACACACACAAACACAGACCAAAGATTATGAGTGGCTGCCAAGAGTAGTAGAGAGGGGGAAAGAGGAAGCTTTTGTTTGTGGGGCATTGAGTTTATGCTAACGGTGGTGGAATATTTTAGAGAAGGATAGCAATAATGGTGGCACAATATGAAAAATGTCATCAATTGATGACAAAAATGTCATCAGTGAGTTGTAAATGAGGAAGTTGTTATGTTGGTGAATGTCTTGTTGTGTTGTTTTCACAACACAAATTTAAAAAAATAAAAATAATTGGACAGGTGAAGAAGCTGAAAAATGTTATCCAAAATCAGAAGATAATCAGTTAAAAGGAGACCCAAATACAGAGATGATGGAATCAGCCGATGAAGACTTTAAAAACACTATTATTCCATATGTTCAAGGATTTAAAGGACAAAATGAACCTAATGAGAGAATGGAAGGTACAAAATAAAAGAGAACCAAATGTCACTTCTGGCTCTGAAAATCACAATCTGATATGAACGTTTCACTGGACTGGATTAACATCAGATTAAGACACTATGAAAGGGGAAAAAAGAAGATACTCATAGTGAACTTGAAAGCATATTAATAGAAATTACCCAAACTGAAATACAGAGAGAAAGATGGCTGAAAATAAAACAACACAGCCTCATTCATCTGAGATACACTAGTGTAACTGCAGACTCAGGAGGAAAGAGGGAAGGAAGGGATCAGGAAAAAATAAGGAAAGAAATAATGGGAAGTAATACTTTAATCTGATGAAAATTATAAAACCACAGATCCAAGTGACATTTACAGTGTCAACTTTACAGGGAACGATCCTTTGGGAACACTTGTTCTAGAAAACATTTTCTTTTTTAAGCGTGACATAGAAACTGTTTCTTGACATGAAATAAACTTAGATGAAATTATCTCACAGTACACAGAGCACATCCTGAGTTCTGGGTGTTCCATGGCCAGTGAGAGGATGCTGGCTGTGCGAAGAGGACGTTCCTTACCTATTCCTATGGTTTGTTTAAATGACAAGACTAATGGCCCCCTCTAATTCATGGGGTCAGAGAGATACTTTTATGTACTACCTTCCTCAGGGCTTTACAGTAGAAATGCTTCTCCACTTTTCATTCACCTAAGAAAATATGACACTCTGAAAGGACAGGGAAAAAATGCAATCCTTCTGAGAAGACATGACTTAAAAGGTTTCAAACAGCCTTAAAAGAGAAAGATTCAGTGAAAAGAAACCCTTCCTGGCTGAATGTACTGCATAATTTTAAAGCCGTGTAGTTTGCTAATCCTGGCTCATTCCTTCTAGCCTTTGCAGTTGTTGGGATAATGGGGCAAAATGTATACAGAAATGCTCATTTTGCTTATTCCACTGCCTTACTTGATGCTGCCTTGGTTAACTATGATCTTCCTTAATGTTCATCACATTGCATTTCCTTAAGAGGAGGCTGTGACTGCGTAAATACCCAAACAATGTACAACTTTATCAACTCCTAATCTGACCATTCATTTATAGAATCAGGGTGCTTACTCCTTCCAGACCCTTTTCATAGTCCTTTGTGGTGATGACAATCTACATAAACACAACAAATTGGACAACATGGATGAGTTGTACAGGAGGAATATCAGAATATCTGGGGGAAAAAGAGAGTGTAAAGGCATGCTAGATTTAACATTTGACGCAGCTGCAAGCAGACCATAGAATGTTAAAATAATATTTAAGATGCTAGGCTATTTATGGGTTTTAATAGTCTCTCTTGCATGTTGTTTCCAAGTTGGCAACAGTAAAACCATGGCAACAGGAAATTCTTCCCTGCAGTGGAGTTTATGAATGCTTTTCTGTTTTCATGACTCAACTCCTTATTTAATTTCCTGTACAGAAAATCAGAGAGATTACTATAGACTGTAATACAAATGTGCTAATCCAAAGACCTTCTGAAAAACAAACAAAAAAGACACAAAATTAAACAAACAAACAAAAAAAGGTGTCTATGGGTAGATTTTAAGATCAAATTTAAAACTGCATCCTCATAGACACACATAGATGTCAACATACTCTAATAAAAAATAGATACTTGGATACTTAACTATTTTATTAATGACTTGAAGCATAGAGTGGGCAACCTTGACTGTTTATGCACCACAGCTAAACTTTTAATCAACACATTTTCCAAGTCAAAGTATTATTACAGCTTAAAAGCCTATCTTCTTAGAGATTAAGGTAGACTTTGGATAACGAAAGAAAAACAAGATATCCCTAGCTATTAAAAGAACTCAAAAATGAGTAAGAAAGCTACGTAACAGCTGATTACAAAGATAAGCATGAGGATTATGACATGGCTTAGCAAAGGTCAAAAATTCTATAGTTGAGGGCCAGGTAGTTACAAGTTTCTGAGTCTGTAATCATTGCAATATTCAACAATGCATAAAAAAAAGTAACTAAAAAACTATCCAGGAGCAATTCTGCATGACTTGCCTTCATGGCACTGTTCCAGTCACACCTTTGATAACATTATTACTTTTTTAAAGTCCAGTCCTAGCAACTGTGATTAGGATGTTCAGTTGTTCTTATGCCACGTTTTCCCTCCCTGGCTTCCTCTCCCCAATCACAGGCAGTTTTCTGCAATAAATGACAGTGTTGCTTTATGGGTAATTTAGCAGACGCATATCAACATAGCAGGAGTAAAATAAGCCTAGTAGGAGGGTGTAAGTATCTCTTACTTTTGGTGTCAAGCTGTGCACGGTATTTCTCAAATCCTTTGAGCCTAACGCGCTCTCCCAAAAGCTGAAGGAACTCCTCAAAGGCTGGGCCGGCCGATTCGTTGTTGTACATCTCTTCTTCGGTGCTCTGTCCAGCTTTGCAGTACATGATGCCTACTTTCTGCTGATAGTTCAGCTGTGAAACAGGCAATACAGGGCATATAAATACAGGCAAATCCACTTTGCACCACTTAAATGCTACTAAGTCCTGTAAGGCACATGCCCAGCAAATAACTAATAATGGGTATATCTTTCTTTTCTTGAAATTCTTGCTTTAATTCCTCTGTCACTCATCTAAAAAAGATAATGGAGCAAACATCTATAATATTCATGAATAAGAAAAAAGGTAAAAAATAAAATAAAACTGCCTGTATTGTTAGAATAGATGTTGATACTTTGGGGATTTCTTGTAATAGATTACACAGTTCAAAATGAGGCTACACAAAATAGCCTCACAATAAAAGCCAATGCTTTTTCAATGATCTCCTGATTTTCAAAAAAGGAAGGCCTTTACAAATTTAAAAGCAGAAGTCCACTTTGCAAAAAAGATACTTAAAATAAAATGTTTTATGCTAAAAAGTCCATTAATGTCTTTCCAAAATTTTGGGCAATATTGGAAAAGACTTAGCTCCAAATGCTGTTTTCCAAAGTATTAAATTATAAATCATGGTTTTATCTTTGTTAAGAACTAGCATTCCCACCAATGCATTACAAAAAACAACTTCTTCACACAGTTGTTCCCTAAAATGATGTGCCTGGATAGATGGTATCTGTAAATAGGGCATTACAATGACAAATCATCTAGGTGCAGGTGTTCTTTCCCCACATATAGCTAAGAAGAAAAATTCAAGAGATCTAAATATTAGGTCTAAGATCTAAATATTAAAATATTGATTCATCATCAAAAAACCTCATCACTCTGAACACAAATTTTAAAGGGTGGAGCTCTGGTAGCATAGTGGCTAAGACACTTGCCTGCTAACCAGACGGCTGGTGGTTCAAACCCACCAGTCACTCCTCGGAAGGAAGGTTGGGCAATCCTACTTCCGTAGTGATACTGCCTCGGAAACCCAAGGAGGGGTCGCTATGAGTCAGGGCTGACT